TGTATTTTGGATAGTTGGCCTAGTTTAATAATTTCAATCTCTATATAATAACTCCTTTTTTTTCCCCCCACAATATTTTTCTGTGGCTTCCTATATTATGTAGTAAAACTACTACAATAAAATAATACATAAATTTAAAAATAATAATTAGGATCTCTGAAAAGTGTGACCTATCCATTTTTCCTAATTAACTACTCTTTCTGAAAGACAAACAATACCAATATTAATAATACAAAAGGCAGATGCTATGTGAATACTTGAGGGAATTATATGAAGGAAATTAATGTGGTAGTAAAAGAATCACTGCTGAACAGACATCAGCAGAGAAGGAGGAAAAAGGATGTGTAAATTTACGAGCTGTAAATCTGAACTAAGCATGTACTCCAAAGGATTGTTCAATGTCATTAAAAATGAAAGTGTTTTTAAAGCCAAATGTTCAAGCAAGTAAGTGCCTAAATCATGACTGATTTTTTACAATAACAAGGATCAAGTATAGCATATGAAATTTTAAAAGGAGAGGAAACACAGTTAACACATGCAACCCATCCTGACAGAAAAATGCAAATGGCACAATGTCTTAAGTCCTATACATAGCTGGTATCAAACAAGAAAGCCATAAATAATACAGAGTTCACATACTTAATGAAACTACATCTTGGGTGTACTAGTATCACTATATCAAGAAGTACACTAGTATTTTGCCAGTATCCCCTGGCAAAATAAAATCTCTCTAGCATGTTCAGCATATAAATCCCTTACATTAATAGTAGAAAATTCCAGCCAAATGTGACTGGAACAAAGACAGTATAGGCAAAAATACAGATAAACCACAGTGCTTTAATATTTTTAAGCAATAATATTAATTGTCACTGCTGTCAGTTGTAGTGGCAATCTTGTAGAGACAAGTGGTCTCTGCCTAGCCCAGGTATGCGGTGTTCAAATGTCCTGGTGTGGTTGAGAAAGTCCTTGAAAAAGAATCTCACCAAACACTACAACAAAAATCTCTTGCGTATTATTTGGCTTTTCCTATGGACAAAGGATTTTCCCTGTGTGCCCTCACTCAAACTGAAATTGGGGAAACGAATGCATTCCAAATAGTATGGCAGCGAGTACTCAACAGGAAGGTTACAACGATCCACCCCTTGCAATGGCATCAGGTCGTGTGCAGGAGAGCATGTTCCCCTTCTATCACCAGGCACAGAAAGCAGAGTCCTATGTCCTTTTACCTGAAAAAGATGGTGGCCCTACCCTAGGGACACTATTTCTGCCAATCCTGCCTGATCTGCTCAAGTAGGTCACAGAAGAAACCTGTTGAGATGTCTGAGCTACCTCCCCCAAGCCATCAATCCATCCATCACAGAAAGGCAGAAAGGAATAGGAGGACTGACTTGGATGATTATTTTTTTTTCTCACAGGCTGCCTTGCCTCACAAGTGAAGAAGCAGAAAAGCCCGCAGTCCTTATGGCACAGAATTTTGAATAAGTGTATATGTAACTGATAACAGTATTACTTATAAATATTTAGTTTATTGTTTATAGTAACTATTAACAGAACCTATTAGTACTATGTCCCTAAAAGTGCAATATTCTTGCAGTTCTGTTTGGAAGAAAAAGCTTTTGTCCCTACAGTAATCACAGCTACGGGGAAGCACACTCTGGCTGAGGGTAAATATACCTTCAGGTTCCACTAGCATTTTGAAATTTGTTAGTCAATCTTTTTGAGTCCTTCCCAGTCTAACCACATTTAGCTGAACGTAACTGTTACTACCAGTGCTGGTCAGTTCACACCATTCTCTTGGCACATGCAAGTTCCCCACCAACTTACCTCCATGAAGAAGCTTAAATACCTGAGAACTTTGTCTTAACAAAAGTCTCCATATGCATTGCAACTGTCTTCTGCTCATTTTCTTCATACTTACTGCAAAATTATGGCCAGTTTTGGATTAATTAGCATGACTGGGAAGAGTTATGTCCTTCCTTAGGATAGTATTTTAGTGAAAATGTGTGTGAAACAGAAAAATCATAAAAGTATGAGATTGGCCATCAAAAGACCCAGGTTTTATTGCTTCTTGTGAGTCAACAGAGGCAAGTCACTTAATCCTTTAGTCTGAGACTCTCAAATGCATTTGGCAGTACCAGCACTGTAAGGCTGAACCCTAAGGGTAGCTTGCCATCCAGTGAAAACTTCAACCCCGATTTGGCTTCAGCTCCTGCAGCTGCTGCCTCTTTTAGGTAAGTGATTTATGAAGGCATCCTTAGAAGATGGGTAGGAAGTGGCAGAAGCTTGTCAGGAGTGAAAGGCTGAGTAAAGAGGTAGGCTGAGGCTTAGGTAATGACTCTGGTGTGCCTGCCTGGAAGGAGAATGGCATCCTGAGCACAGGACCCTCAACTTCAGAGGCATGGCACCATTAGCCAGAAACTTTTCACCATCTGGTCTGGTTAAAAGCTGACATGCAGAAGTGTATTTTTGCATGTGGGTCGGTGGCAGCTGTTTTGATATTTTGGAACTATCACTGATTCCTGAATTGTGAGTTGATGTGCTTACAGTACCAGAGAGGCATCTAAGCATTTAGTTTTTGTAGAGACAGTAGAGACAGCAGTGACAGGACAAGGGGTAATGGTTTTAAACTAAAACAGGGTAGGTTTAGGCTAGATATAAGGAAGAAATTCTTTACAACGAGGGTGGTGAAACACTGGAATGGGTTGCCCAGAGAGGCAGTGGAGGCCCCATCCCTGGAAACATTCAAGACCAGGTTGGACAGGGCTCTGAGCAACCTGATCTAGTTAGTGGTGTCCCTGCTCGCTGCGGGGGGGTTGGACTAGATGACCTCTAGGGGTCCCTTCTGACCCAAAACTTTCTATGATTCTATGATTCTATGATCTTCCAGGATGCAGGTCTACACACACTGAATACCACTATTTTCTAAACTGCTTTGAAATGCTTGGTTGAAAGTACAGAATGAATCACAGAATCATGTAGGTTGGAAGGGACATCTGTAGGTCACCTACTCTGACCTCCTAATGAGGAGGTTGCTGAAGGCTCAGCTCAGTCATATTATGAGTATCTCCAAGGATGGATATTTCACAGCTTCTCTGCATACCTGTACCAATTTTTGTCCACCTTCATGTTAAAATATTCTTTTCATTATATCTAATCAGATTTTTTTTTCCAACTTGTATTCATTACTTCTTGCTGTATATTTTCAAGAAGAGTCTGGCTGTGCCTTCTCTATAGCCTTCCATTAGATAGTTGAAGACAGCTGTAAGATCTCCGCTTAGCCTTCTCCTCTTAAGGCTGAAAAAAAGAGTTACTCTCAGCCTCTCCTCGTATACCATGTTCTCCAGGCCCCTGACGTTGGCGGAGCACTGCTAGACTCATGCCTGTATGTCCTCATCTGTCTTGTAATGGAGCGCCCCAAACCGGACACAGCACCTCAGATGTGGTCTCACATGTGCCAAACAGCGGGGAAGAACCACTTCCCTTTTCCTGCAAATCTTCTTCCTAAGCAGTCATCCCATGTCTGTAATGTTGCACGAGGCTTTTCTCTCCCTTTGCATTTGCTTTTGTTGAACTTCATAATGTTCCCATCAGCCCATTTCCACAGCCTGGCCAGGTCTCTTTTAATAGCAGCGCTGGCCTTGAGCATATGGGTCGCTCTCCCCAGTTTGGTATTGTCAGAAAACATGAAAAATGCCACTCACTGTTAACATTTGCAGGAAGGGAGGAGGCTGGTGAACAGAGAGCTGACTTCATTCTGTTTATCAGCTCACTAGCATAATTCAGGGAAGCAATATTAGTTTATATCCTTAGCTTGAACTGAAACAGGCCAATTACCACTGAAAACTAAAAAAGGCAATTTTAGGAGAAGAGTGCTTTTGGCAAAGAAGCTTGTATTCTTAAATGTATTGAAGTGAAAAATCACATTGTTTCTTGGCTTTCTTACAATACCAATATTACAGACCATTTTTTCTAGAGTACCTTAAAATGATTTTTCCTTTAAAAAAGTTATACTCCTTTCTTTTCAAATCAAATATAGCAACAATTTGAATGCTAGCTTAAACTTAATTTGTGTTCATTTTTATCATTATGAAATATGGTGCATAATTTTAATTAACGTGGTATAGTATTTATTCTTTTTCTATACTTTGGAAAAGAGAAAGTATTGTGAATAAACTGTTAGCAGGGTGTATTTTTCATATTACATGTTTTTGCCACTACCTTGAAGAATGTTTGACTGAGCCAGATGTACTAAAAGTCAGTTAAAATGCATTTCAAAACTTCAGAGAACACAGCAAGAAATCTCATGGCATACAAGGTAATAGCTGGAAGGAAACACCTGAAAGCAGACTGAGAAAACCTATCTCAATCTTCCTGATAAATGACTAATGTCAGAAATTAAGCAAGACTCCAACTCAAATACCATCAAATGCTTTAAATTTGAGAGTATCCATTCAGATAAACTCTCACATTTAAACAAAAGGGATAAAAAACCCCCTCTGTGATTCATGTCGTTATATTCCTGTTGGGAATGACATGAACAACAGTGGTGCCTATTATATGGTCTATATTATCTGAAACACAATGACACCAAAGTCGATGTTTTTCTTCTGAACAATGTACACTACTTAGGATGATGGGCATGCCTATCACGAATCAAAGCTAGCTGTTGTCTTACTCATAACAAAGCAGCACACGTTTTGCTGGGGCTTCTGTGAAGAAAATGGGGAGTAGCTACGTGCTACATCTAAGCTGCTCTGAAAGCCCAGCCCGCAGAGGCGCTGTCAGGATGGCGCACTCCCTCTCTGCTCACATTGACTGCAGACAGGTTCCCCTAAAACGGAGATTTGGTACCTTTAGTCTCACCAGTAGGTATGTTAGGTTGCTTTTAATTGTTCAAGTAAATTCTGATAAAATGGCTGTGAAGTTTCGTGATGATTTTGTTAGTGTTTTTATATAGATTTACATTGAAACCAGATTTGTAAAAAAATGAAGGAACTTACAAAAGACATCTCCTCTAAGGATTCGCTCATGGTCAATTTGATTCTCAAAATTTTCCTTCTCCTCTTCGTCTGACTCTTCTGCCTCCTCTTCTGGAGTAGCTTCAGTTTCTTTCTCTTCCTCAGTGTAGCTCCCACCAAGATCAATACCACCTTCATAGTGCAATAGCTGCAAGTGCGTCTTAGAAGATGGTGTCACGGCTGCTTCTGGGATGGCATTCTTGATTGTTTCATGCTTTTTCACACTGTTTTTATGTGTAAGAAGTTTCTTAATTGTGTCCTTAGCTGTTCCAGGGATTCTTGCAATTCTTGCAATTTCCTTCACTGACTTTTCAGGGATAACTAGAATCAAGAAGAAAATACTAAATATTCATCTAAGGAATCATTCAGCAATGACATTTATAAATGGCACCACAGTGTCCTTTACAATGTCCAGAGACCTACACAGCCAAATTCTCTACTATGAGATACAAGCTCAGCTCTGCACAGAACTGCAAGTGCATGCACGTGTTCAGCTCTGTTGTACAGACAACCCTCTGAGTTACAGTGAAAAGACCAAAGCGACCCTCTGTCATAACCTCATTCGGACTCCTGTGTAACACAGACCATAGAGCCCCTTACTTCAATTTTTTTTACACTAGAGATTGGGTAAAAAAGAAATCGTCTTTCTTCGATTTATGGACTACTAAGAATTGCACATAACAAATGTCAGCAATGACCATTTTTCTTAGCTATCTTCTGGCTGAACTTTCCTTGCATGACAGGCTGAAAGCCACTGAAATTGAGAGTATTTTGAGAGGAGATACATCTAGCTGCTCTGTTACATTTCATTTAGCTCTAAGAGATATTTAGTTCTAAGCGACAAACCCTAAAACTTCAGAGAGGCATCCAATAATGCCAAATTATTATCTTCTTGCAATTCCAAGGTGCACTAGAACATAAATGCAAAATTCCCTGAGATTTTTACTATTTTATGGTTCTTCTTGGCTACAAAATACTAAAAGGATAACCAGCCTTGTAGTATCTTGCAACTTTGGATTCTGTTCAGAAACACAAAGGCTGCCAGAAGTGACAAACTTGGGGTGGGGTAAAAGACAATCGAGATTGTTCAAATCTGTAAAACAAACAAAAAAAATCTGAATTTGGTGTTTTCTCTGTTATGAAGTATAATGAAGTCAAATGTCCTCTATATCCAGACAAAAACCTCAAAAAATTCATTGGTAAGAGGACATCTTTACTTTTATTTATATTCATTCCTGGAAAATACAATCCTATCACTGTGAATTTGTCACATTTTATTTACGGTAAATGCAACTACATGCTATTTAGTATGCCAGAAACAGAATCAGACTCTCTTGGTGTGCTCACTGGAGCATTCAGGTTTTTTGAGGCTGCAGTTGGAGGCATAAAGTAAACAGATGCCAATAAAAAGATAAATCAAAACTGAGGATTTTGTTTTTCTTTTCCTTTGGATAAAACTTGCAGCCTTGCTTGTCAGATACTTGCAAGTAAACTCTTTACTAATACTCCACTAAGTGAGCCTTTCATCTGGAGGACGATGTCATGAACGATGTAAGGTTCTCTGGGTCTAAACTCAGAATGCAGCAATAAAAATTAACAGGAAAGCTTCATTCCAAACAAATTTCCTCTTGACAATCAGTAACAAGAAACTTCAGGCTGTTAATAAAGAGGCTGTGGAGAATTTCAAGCCAGGACTGACTGCTCAGCAAACCTGAACATCTGCTTTTAGTTTCTCTTTGAAGTCTTCCTAGTGAAATGAAAAATTCTTGCAGCTCAACATAATAACATCTGTAGTGTCAGAAAACTGATCTCCTTGTATATGCAAAACTAAGCAGTGCAGAAAACCAGCTGACAGGACTGACAAAAATAGAGGGATGAAAGCGTATAAATCCCCACACACTTGCAGACTCCAGTTTGCTGCTGCAATGTGAAAATCTGCATGCTCATGGGGACGAAGAGGGATTAGACACCAAGCGTATTTTAGGTTATATCACTAGTATCCTTCTATTCCGCATTCAGGTTTAGGATAGCCAGAGGTGTGGATTTAAGGCTTTTTATGTCTACCCATAAACCGCAGGAGGAATAATCCAGTGTGAGGACAGATCACCTTAAACTCAGTCTGTTCTGTTGAATCCACTGCTTGTGGACTTGCCTGAATGAACAGCTCACCTTCTCTGACAATCTGGAGTGCTACAGATGAGGCAGTGATTCTTCAGGACCCTTTGCCCCAAGACATGTATATAAATGCACAGGTGCTGCTCACAAACATTTGTGCATTTATCCATCCACATGACTGCATAGAGAATTTTGGAAAGTGAAAAGAAATGTAGTGTGCATTTCATCCCAGCTTTTCTTTATGTACCTTCCATCAGGCAGCAGGTAGATTAATGCCTCCTGTTCTTATACAGTTTCTGTTTATTGCCCTAGCATGAAAATATCTCAGCTTTCAAAGGTATTTTATTTCTTTGAATTAGAGAGAATTAAAGCAAGAGGTGGAAAAACAAAGGCAAATGGTGGCTGAGGGCTAAAAGTAAATCTTTTCTGTCACCAGTTGCTGTACAAGTTTATAAGACCATAGAAAAGGCTTGATGTAGGATTTCTGATGACCAAGCTGTGAAAGTTGAGTCGGAAAAAAATATAGGGAGACCAGATGCCAACCCCCTGTCTCTGTGCTGCATTGTGTAAATGGAAATACTCAGGGGATGACAGAGGAGGAGGACACACACCCCGTGACCGCAGCCGGCGCTGGCTGGGGCTCTGCGCATAAGGGGGCTGCAACAGGAGACAGCTTGCTCTGCACCCCAGCGGGGCACCGCTCTGCTTCCACCTTCACACCTAGCAATATATTTAAAAACCTGGTGAGTGACAAGCCTAGGAGACTGGCTTACAAATCCTTTTGTAACTCCCTCTGTAGCTTCTGTACATATAAATTGGACAGGGGATGAGGGATACAGACAACCATTTGCCATGTTTAGGGGGAGCCTATAGATGTGAGTAAAGTTTAGATCAGCAGG